CGGGAGCGCGGCCGCCGCCTCCTCCTGCGCCCGGGAGGGGCCGCGGGGCCGGGCCGGGGCTCCCCGGGCAGGCCGCGATGTGCTTGTTCTTGTGTCTCCTCCCGCCCCGCAGGTCTCGGTCATTAACACCGTGGACACCTCTCACGAGGACATGATCGTGAGTGTGCGGGGCCGCTCCGGTAGCGGAACGCGCGGGGGGCGGGAGCGTGGGGGGCGAACCCCACTAAAACGGTGCGCGGGGGGGCGAGACGGAGAATCCGGGCTGAAAGCCCGGTAGCGCAGTTTTATACTGCACGGAGAGGAAAACACGGCTACCGGGGGAAGGGGGCATGACCAGCAGCTTTAATTTTCACGCCTGGGCTTGTTTCTGTGAACAGCCGGCACGCACACGCCGAGCGGTGCGGGGCTGCACGGATGGAACTCAGTTTCCTTTATGCGGATGTTTCTGGGAGCGGTAACGGGCAGGAGGAAAATTGTCAAAGGAGTTTGTAGAAGGAGCCCAGTCGGATAATGAAGTTTCAAACATAACTACGAGGTGTCGGTGTTCTTGCGCCCGCTTTGCATACTGAGAAACAGAAACACGTAACTGGTCAAGGCTTTATAGTCAGTGGCACTAATTTCCCGTCCTCTCCTGCCGGTGCTGGGCACGCTGCGCTCGGTTCCCCAGGTTACTCCTGCGTAGCATTCGTATAGTTAGTGACAACAGCAGTTGGGGAAATAAATTACTTAAGTAGCTTGTCTGGATTGTTTAGAAACTATCCCCTTTACCCTGTCCTGCTGGGACTCGGTCCTCAGTTCCAATGCTTACAGATACTTTTAGAACACAGAAAGGTCTGCTGACAAAGCTGACGGGCGCTTTTCCATTGCCTTGCAGCACGATGCTCAGATGGATTACTACGGCACTCGGTTAGCGACCTGCTCTTCAGACAGATCCGTGAAAATCTTTGATGTTCGGAACGGAGGGCAAATCCTCATTGCGGACCTGAGAGGGTAAAGTGCCGTAAACAGAAGATTTCAATCTGTGGACATCTTTAATATTTTGTCATTTTGCCCTTTGGTAGCATAAGACGCGTGTTGAATTCTTCCAAGGTAATAATTACTCTGGCTGGTTGTTGCTAACCAACTCTTCAGAGCTGTGAGGGGTGACTTAGAAATAACGCTGGGGCTTTTCCATTTGTTACTCCTGTAATTTTCAAGAAGTAAACTCATAATCTTAACTGCTAATACAAGGATAAATGTTGGGAATTGTTTCTGATGGCAGTGGCTTTGTCTGACAGCCTGTATGCTGGTTTTCACCGTGGCATTACTGGGTTTTGGTATCACTGCATTAATCACCTACAGAACGTGGATTTCCAGCACCGATGGCTGTGAAGCTGCCAGGCTGGAATGGGAGTTTCCCAGCTTTTCCTTGTTTCTTGCAGGCATGAAGGTCCCGTGTGGCAGGTTGCCTGGGCTCATCCGATGTATGGAAATATCTTGGCTTCCTGTTCCTACGACAGGAAGGTTATTATCTGGAAGGAAGAAAACGGCACTTGGGAGAAGACGTATGAGTACACAGGGCATGATTCCTCAGGTATGTGGGGACTGGAGCTGGGACATGAGGCTGGGGGTCTGAGAGGATTCAGGTAAGATCAGGATAAATCTATCCATCTTAAAGACGAAAGCCCCTACCAGACAGGTGGGGATAAATGAGTGGAGAGCAGTAAATCTGTTCAGCATAAGCAGGACATTTACGTAAGGTCATATTTGCTGCATAACCTGCCCTGATTCATAACATGTTCGTAGTTGTTGTTTTACAAATAAATCGGCTTTCAAACAAACAAGATGGTAGGGTACTGAATTCTTGAGGAAAATATCGTATGTATCCACTACAGGGAGAAAGGAAAAAGGTGGATTTTAGCACACTGCATTTTGATTTACAATGGAAACTTTTGTTCAGATGATTGATCCTCCTACATGCAGATCTGAGAAGGCTCCAGCTTTGTTCTGTTACTCCTCTAGACTTCAAGTACTGTCCCTGCCACTCAGCTTTTCTTCTAGAGTCAGCAGTACCCTTCGCTGTTGCTGGGGATAGTCAGTTTTTTCTCTCTCACTGATTGCGCTTCTGGTGTTCTCATTTGATAAGGGTTCCAAAAACAAAGGCAGTTTTCTGTCGCTCAGTAAACAGTGTTAATTGACCAGCTTTGCTGAAATTCAGGAATGCCAAGACTCTACTCTCAGCTTGCAAAGCTGCTTGCTTTTAGTGACCACACCGCTGGCAGCGGTGAATTGGTCAGTCCGAGGCGGTGGCTGTGTTGTAACCCAGCCTGTCCCCCCCTTCACAGTGAATTCTGTCTGCTGGGCTCCACATGACTACGGGTTGATCCTGGCCTGCGGGAGCTCTGATGGGGCCATTTCGTTACTGAGCTACACGGGGGACGGGCAGTGGGAAGTCAAAAAGATCAGCAATGCACATACGGTAAGTCTGTTCCTTTGGAGCAGCGCAGAGCTCCTGGAGCTGCAGACACCGAGCTGAGGCCTCAGAGAACTTCCAGACTATATAAATACTGCAGTGCAATGAAATGATGTGAAACGGCTTCTGTAGTCAAGAATAACTTGTTTTAAATGAATCCAGAGTGGAAGGTATACTGCAGTCACTAAAACGAAGTAGAAAACAAGACGTGTGAAGCATTGGTAATTAATGCTTATTAAGCGTTATTGTTAAACACAGTGCTGGGAGCTACGTGGTAGGAAGTGGCTTTGGTACCCAGAACACCTGTACAAATTGACTCTGGAAAAACCACAGCACTCGTGTTTTTCCCAAAATAGTGGGGATTTTTGCTTAAGCAGAACTTCATGAGCTAATGGCAGTGTCTCTCAGTAAAGGGTAATTGGGCTCTGAACCACAGGTCCCTTCTACTGCATTCCTAAATCTTAGCAACTGGGTATATCTTGGGTCTTTTTCCTTCTCCACTGTTTACATATCCAAGATGATATTTGCACATAAACCAGTTACTTAGCTACCTAAGGCTTTCTGAGTAAGTGCATCGCTGAGACTAGGCTGTCTCTGGATTTCCTACTCATCTGATCTCCATCTGCCATTGTGCAAGACTCCCGTTTTCCTAAGATGGGCTTGTTCCACCTCCCCAGCAGAGAGCATGCTAGGTGTCCTTTGCCCCTCAGCAGCTTTCATTTATTTATTTAAAGTAAGCAACTTCTAATAATGATATTATTCCATTAACTAGATTGGATGTAATGCAGTTAGCTGGGCTCCTGCTGTTGTACCAGGAAGCCTCATAGAACAACCGTCCGGGCAAAAACCAAACTACATCAAAAGATTTGCATCTGGTGGCTGTGACAACCTTGTCAAGATCTGGAAGTAAGTGCTCTGTTGACAGACTTAAGAACTTATAAAACCTGATACCCTTTATAGTCTTTGAATGTCCCCGCTAGTATCTCAGGTAATATTTTCAGCTTCTCCATGCTGATCTTTGAACGGTTGTTTTAGAGAAGTGCTTTAAAATGGACGCAGCTTAGTGATGTGCCATGGCTCACGTGGCTGTAGCAGTGTCAGCCCTGCTTCATCTTCTCTTGGAAAGTGGCTGTCTAATTGTCTTTGACCACTGTCACTTGGACAGTAGTGGATTTCTGCACAGTCACTGAAGGTCAAATACTCTTTGCCTGTGGTGCTTTCTGTCCCCTGGAAGGGATTTTGTCAGTTGAAGCCACAGAGCTTTTTTGGAGAAGAGTGGGGAACACTTGTGCTTTGTGTTAGCCGGATAACCGGGGAGTCTGAAAGCTACCGAAGCCTTCCAGAACAGGAGGTGAGAGGTGGGACCAGCTGCTGCTGCCGCCCTCCTGAGTGTGTCGGTGTGCTTCCAGGGAAGAGGATGGTCAGTGGAAGGAAGAGCAGAAGCTGGAGGCTCACAGCGACTGGGTTCGAGATGTAGCCTGGGCTCCATCCATAGGTTTGCCAACAAGTACCATTGCGAGCTGCTCCCAGGTGAGGCTTCTCTCGGGGTGAGAGGCAGCTCGTGGTGCCCTTGCTTCCATTTACTTCCTTCCCCCTTTCTCTAGGAAAGGAATAGTGAGGCTAGAACTGCTGTAACAGGTCCTCTCGGCAGTCCTTAGCTGTAGCTGGCTCTGTGCTAAGAGCCTTTGATTCCTCTTCCTCACAAACTCAGAAGCCCAGTAGAAGTGTTTCTGGACAAAGGTCTGTGCGTGTGTGGATCTGTACCAAGAACTACCTTTTATTTTGAAAATCAGGAGCAGGATGCTCTCATGGTGAGGAAGACCTTCAAACAAACATTGTATTTTAATGTCTGTAGCTCCAATTCACTGAACTTCCAGCTAAAAATACTGTTTTCTAAAAACACGTTATTAATCAGCTCTGATGTCCTCGACCTTCATAGGTTGTCCTCGACCTTGACTATAGGTTCTTGCTGCTAATAATTCTGTAAATGCTTTTTTTTCATATTACTAAGTCTCCTTGGTAAGCTGCTAACTTGCTGTCACGTGACTGGAAAGCAAAATCTCACTCTGGGGAAAAAATTTCAGATGATTGAAAAGTGTTTTGGGAGGTTTACTGTAGTGTTTGCAAGTCACCTTTCATGTGTAGTTTTTCCCATCGGAGTTGTACTCCTGTCCTGCTTTCAGCTGCAGTAGGGAAACAGCCACTTGTCTGGAGCAAAAGTCCACGTAGATGTATCTAGGGTTCGTGTCGGAGCTGGGGTTTGTGCAGTTGAGGTGGTTTTTTGGTCCAGCCAGCTCTGCTTGCTTTCGCAGGACGGCAGAGTGTTTATCTGGACATGTGACGATGCCTCTGGGAACTCGTGGTCGCCAAAGTTGCTGCACAAGTTCAATGATGTGGTCTGGCATGTCAGTTGGTCCATTACTGCAAATATTCTCGCAGTGTCCGGAGGAGACAATAAAGTGAGTACTGCTGCCTTGGCTTTTACTGCTGTGGGACATGTTTTTAGACGAGCTGTGATGAGACAGGCCCTTGTCACTTTTGTTTAAGATACGGCTGTTGTAGCTTCTCCTTTGCTATAATAGTGACATTTTTTATTTTTACTTATCACGAGGGGAGGAAGACCCTGACCTTTGACAAACTACTTGCACGGCCTTCTTAGTCCCCGAGGATTAGAAATGCAGGCTTAACTTTAATTTGTAGGGTACTAACTATTGACATACTCTCCCTTTACCACTGGGTGATTACTCAGTGTACAGCAACGAGTAACTTGATGCTTAAAAGGACTCTGCAACACTTGACTTGTGTAACTGTGGGCAGAGGCCGAAGCGGTGACACGGTAGGTGTGAGGACAGGGGCAGCTGAGGGTGTATTGAGGCTGAAACGTCTCCCTGGTCTGTTTTTGAGGTGACGCTGTGGAAGGAGTCTGTGGACGGCCTGTGGGCGTGCATCAGCGACGTCAACAAGGGCCAGGGCGGGGTGTCTGCCCTTCCCGAGGGGCAGCAGAACGAGCAGTGAGCCCCCCGGAGTGCGCCAGCCGCCGAGCCATCGCTGCGCCTGATCCGCGACGTGTCGTGGGCAGGATGAGAGTGGATCTTACCTAAACTGGACATGGACGTGGGAAACAATCATCCAATTTTGTGGGCACTCTAGAGATATTGCTGGGAGGTTACAATATGTTGGTAATCAGCCTTAATTGACATTCCCTTAAATTTAAGGTAAAGAGCAGAGCAAAGTACTGTGCCTTATACTACTCCTTGATGCTGCAGAAATTGTACCCTGCTTTTCTGGTCTAGGGATCAGATTTAATTGGATTATGCTGTGGTCAGACTTGAGGAGGAAGAGGAGGCGGCTGTGCAAGTGGTGGGGTGTGAACTCCTTTGTGCAAGGGGCCAAGCGCTCTGCCCCCTCCCAGGCCAGGACTGTTTCACCTGAGGGGAGGGGCTGGTGGAGTTTCCAGGAGTAGCTGATGGCAGGCTCACCCTTCTGGGAGTGGTGAAGTGGTGCTTAGATCTTCCTGAAAATAATGTGCTGGGATAGGTGAAAGTCTCTGTGCTTTCCCAAAAGGAGTAGTGGAATGCATATGTCTTTTGCTTTACAGTAATCTCAAACTTGGTTATTGAACACCAGTAAATCAAACCATAATTGCAAGAAATTTTTTTTGGTAGCCACACTTCTGTACTGTACTTCAGGGTTTTCTTTTTTTGTTGAGGTATCAACAGAATAAAGTCCTCTTGGTTAGCACCTGGTGTGCTGTGTGTGGTAACCTCTGTGCAGGGCCTGTGTGGAGGCTGCGCAGCCCGGTGTGTTGCGTGCTATGCTGGGTGTTGTGTTGTGTGCTGGGTGTTGTGTTGTGTGCTGTGCCCCCAGCCCTGGAACCACCTTCCCAAGAGCTGGGCTTGGGCCTGCTGGAGCCTCCCGCAGTGTATGAACAGAGTCCTGCCTTCGCCTGCCCTGTGCCCCTCAGGGCCCATGTCTCATTCAGCTAAAAGCTGAAACGTTCTTCCCCTCTTAGGAGGGGGAAAGTACTTAACTAAAAGGTCAGGTTTTCCCTTTATTCTTCAGTCGCACTGAAACAACACAAGTGAGCAATTCACAGCCTTCCTCTTTCTCCAAGGTCGTGTTCCCAGGCCTGCCCTTTGTTTTGGCACAGTCAATATACCCCTTTTTCTAGAAAAACAAACCTGTTTTGTGATAGTTATCTCTGCTAACCAGATAACACCCTTGCTGCTCTTCAACACACACGTGACTTGCCTTTCTATCCCCCAACAGAAGAACGCACCATTCCTGTTCTTGTTTAAACGCTCTGTAGCATCAGCTCATCTAGAAATTAGCATTCCACTCAAACAGTCCCACCTCACATTACACACCAAAGCACTCTCAAGCTGTTTTCCATTTCTACTGTAATCATAACAGCTACGCTGAGCAGGAGCCTCACCCCCAGCACCGTACCCGCTGCCTCTTGGATGCAGAGCCCTACCTGCGGGGGGCTGGGGGTGCAGCTGCTGTGGGAACTACACAGACGGGGAGTCAAGCACAGTAGCTCCAACAAAAAGGCTCAGAAATGAAACCCCAGTCTTAGTTGTTAGCATTCACCACACTTCATTCTAAGGAAAAAGGGCACGAAATCCTTAAGTACAAGAAAAGTTTTTGCCTGTGTTAGTTTCCACAGTTCACCACGTTAAAAGTTACCCTCCTGTTTCATGAGGTTTAATAATTCAGAATTCAAAGCTATTTAGCAGCAAGGCCCAGTTCAGCCTGTTATTCCTTCATGCTTAAGATGGAATTTATTTATTAAAATGGTTTCAAGTAATGATCACAGTATCCCCAACAATTACAACTGATAAAAGGTTATTTAAGAGTTACACAGTTTACTAATTGTAAGATAACCATTAGGTCAAAGTTTTTCAGTTGCTCATGCGAGAGCAACTGGATTTTGATCTCTAACACCTGTCTCTTATACA